TTCACTTTTCTCGGAAACCCTAAGTTAAAGTTTTTGTTTCTATTTATTGGAAGTTTAAATTAAAAAATTGCGTTTTTACTCTTAATCAATTTACTTACCTTGCACTCACATTTTATCCTCCACTACATGTAATCTACTCTTTGTACAACATCTAATCCTCCAACAGGATTTGGGGTCGGCTAACATGAGTCGATACATGATTGGGAAATGGTCCAATATAAGAGTAAAACAAATCCCATGTTCCCAAATAGGAGCCCTATTTTTTAGTTACGTAAATAGGAGTACTTTTAATGTGCTGGACATATATTGTCACTGTTTCGAATTTTGTGCGTGTACCCTAATAGCAGGCCCAACCTGTCGTTTTAAATCTCCTCTTCAGCTTGCTTTTCTTCTTCTTTACATTTCTTGCATTTTTAGCTACACGGTTGGATGAATAACAGTGGTGGCACACTGGAGCGGTACAAGATGAGTCGACGGACCCACACGACGGCGTGACGACAACGATTGTGCAGCGGCGGAGGCGATTGTACAATAACGAAAGGCCATGTTTTGATATCTATACATGCCATGTTTCCCTATATTCAAATGTCATTATTATTATTATGTCTAATGAAGGTGCAATTATTATGTCAAATGCAGATCTGTAGACGTGGCAAACTGATGATAGCGGCCGGTCTCTAAAGGTGGCGGCCGCCTGGAGGTGTTGGTAGCCGCTCTTCGAATGTGGCGGAGGTTACTCAGAGGCAGTGGCGACAGAGGTTAACAGGAGGCGGCGGTGGCGTACTCTCCTGACGCCGTAGACGTAAACCCCGACGGTGTCAATGGACCCGCCGGGCGGTGGGGATGGACCTGCCGGGCGGCGGCGATGGACCTGCCTGGCGGCGGCGATGGACCCTTCGGGCGGCGGTAGACCCGCCGGGTGGAGGCAATGGACCCGCCGAGCGGCGGCGACGCTGGATTGTTATTTTGCTGTTATTTTTTTATTTTGTAATTGTAAATAAGTCTAACATTTCATTAAGGGTGTTTTAGTCAAGTAATTACATTTTTACTCTTATTAAAGACTATTAAACATTGAACTTGTGACACCGCACCCGAACGTACGTCCTTAAAAATTCAATTTAAATTTCAAGCTTATGTATTGAATTTCCGAGCAATTGTAAAACGATTAATGTTTACGTTGTGCATGATTGAATATCGTACTGTTCAAACTCGTATATTAGTGTCGGGTTTTGCAAATACTTATTCGGGCCTTATTAATGAACATAAGAGCCCAAAATTCCTAAATAGTGTTACGTGGTCTTTCAAGACAAGTCGAGGAAGGTCGGGCGACCCAAACATTATTTTGGGCCCAACCTGCTAAAAATAGCAAGTATTCGAGAATGACGTTCTAGACCCACTCGGGAGTGACCCACACGACTAGTAGCCCTATAATATGTATGAAAAATGTCAAATAAGTGATAGAATGATTAAAGAAGAATACAAATGCCTATAACCCCATCTTTGACATTATTGAGCTAAATAATGGGAGTAGGATTTTCCTGCTATGATATCCATCAAGTAAATTATTGTGATGAACCTACACATATTGGAGATCAATAATGTGATGAAGGAAGTTGATTTGTTCTAATTAAATTAGGATGAGTACAAAAAGACATCTTTGACAAAAGATAAAAGTATAGGAGGACCCATCTTCCCATTTTTGGAAGTATTGATAGATATTTTGGACCCCAAAATGATTGGGATCAATTGGGAACCACTCCACATGATATTAGTACCTACAAGACAAAGAAAAATGGGTGAGACAACTATGTGGGGCGGACTTTTTGACTCATGAGCTACAACATTACAAAAAGGAAATTAAAGAGGAGGTCCACACCATGTTTGATTGCAATCAAATACCCTACCCTTCTTTTTGTGAACCACATGCTCTCTTAGCATGATTGAGGCCTCCTAATACACTCCCCCTACACCCCATTCGAACCCCCAAAGAGATAAGAGAGCAAAGGGAATCCACACAACTCAAGAGAGAAGGAAGGGAGAGGGCTGTCCGCAGGTAGTTTTCCAGTGCGTAAGGTTACTGGTTTGCTTCATATTTCGAGTTATACACATCCAAATAAGGCGTGTGAGATACCAACAGAAAGCTCTCAAGACGAGGAATCCGTGAAGGTCTGGTTTGCATCAATTAGAGTAGTGGAAGGCTTCCAAATCGTCCGAGAAAAACACAACCTCGCGGAATACGTTTTTGTATTCAAAGTAAGTTTGAATCCAAAACCTTCCTCTCTATTGTCTAAATCATATAAATGATTGAATAACTATTATAAACTGATTGAAGTGTATAAAATGTTATTATAAAGTGACTTTCATTGTTGGAAAGGTTAGATACTAACCTAAACAAAACCTTGAAAGGTTAGGGAACGAATTCGTCGGGAAACACCCGTTCTAGGGACTGTTTTTGTGTCTTCGGTTAGGAGTTGAACTAGCACTTTGAGGGGGCTGTTTAACACTCAATTCCAAGCAAGGAATCAGTTCTCAAACCTTCTTGGCCGAGGCTTTGGTCGTTGGATCGAGAAGGAAGGTTTTAAAGCTCATTTGAGGTGAGGACCGACATCTAGTTGCTTACAACTTGTAGGTTATGCATGAGATTACCTAAATGCTTAAGTCATGTTTTTTTTGTGAATAAAGATGCTTGAACATTATATATATGATAAGTAATGGACTTGATCATGAATTGAAAACATATTGATGAATATGGAGTAATATGAGATAGGAGTATGCTAATATGGTAAATTGACCTTTCCAACTCATGTATTAATGTTATGTGTACGTAAATGTATAATTGCATGATGATGCTTAGCACATGGAAGGCGGCCACATATCTATTGATATGGAGGGGCTACCATTAAGAGTAAATGAGTTGTAGGAATAATCTTAATAGTATTGTGATGCTAGTTAAGGATTGTTCGAAGTATCGATAGAATCAAACTTAAAGGTTTGGGTTTGTTTGTGATGAACTTGAATAAGATTCAAGTGTCAATTGTGAATTCATGGAGTAGGAGATCTATGGTGTGATTTTATGAAGTAGGAGATCTATGGTGTGATTTTATGAAGTAGGAGATCTATGGTGTGATTTTATGAAGTAGGAGATCTATGGTGTGATTATATGAAGTAGGAGATCTATGGGGTGAATACATGAAGTAGGAGATCTATGATATAATTGTATGAAGTAGGAAATCTATGATGCGGGTGCATGATGATGTACTCGAGCCGAACTCTAGAGAGGAGAAGTTATTTTAGGGTTGGACCCTATGTATTGTCGTGACTATTAGTCACGGGGTTTGGGAAATGTTTTGTAACAAACATGGGCCTTTGAGCCGACTACTTGACTTTATATAAAGTAAGTATATATTTTGAAAGGGGTAATTTGGGATTACGGCCTATACTATATTATCACCCTATTTGAGGGTCTTGTGTGTGAAATACTTGTTGTATATCTATTAGATGCCTGCCACACCAGTACTTTATAGCCGTATAGAGTACTGACCCCTTCGGAGGCGTCCCACCACCATTTCAGGTTGAGGCTCGAGCTTGTTACCTGTGCCCGTTGCTCGGGTGATCCTTTGGAGAGAAGACGTGGTTCGTGCTTTCTCCATTCTGGTTTTGAACAATATTAAACATGCTCATGGATATTTTACTATAGAGCCTGCGTGCTCATGAATAGCCCTGTGTGGCCCTTTTGTTTTAAACAATGTTTTCCGCTGCGTTATGATGAATTACTTATTATGTTTGTTTATGGATGTTATGTGTGTGAATGATATTCAAGACGCCTTGTATAATATGAATGTGTTGGACTGCGGTTGACTATTCGTATTGTACGGCGGGTTGTTGACGTGTCCGGGGAGGTCCGGGGCGTGACAGAACTCTTATTTGTGCACATGTTCAATGTTTTACTTCTATCGAGGTAATTACCCCTACATGATATCGTAATCAAAAGAAAAGATATATAAGAAAGATAAAAAAGCTATGATAATAAAAAGGATAATATGAAAAGAGATGGATATACTTAAAAATGATAGAATACAAAGGATAAAAAGAATAGAAAAAACAATAAAGTGGGAGGGAAAAGATGATAAGAGATTACTCCTCCATAGGAATACCCACCATCCACTTTGTTCTCTCCAAACAGGGTCGGTCCTGTCAATTTCTAGTCCTATGGGCGAGATATACTATATTGGGCTTATACACAAGATAAATCGTAAACTATACATATTATTTAAATTATGAATTACAACAAAAAAATGTAATAAAGTTCATAAAATAAAGGCCAAAATTACTTTACTGTTATTTAAATTACATGTTTGGGAAAACGTAACAACACAAGTATTAAAAATGTAATTCATACGTTTAAAAGTACTCGTAGATGTGCTTTTATTACATCTACGTGTTTATTCCTAAAAAGGGTACATAATGTGCTTTTTTAAGTGGATCAATTACATTTTTAAATGACTTGTGTTGATTATTAAATGAACTACATTTAAAAATTACATCTAGAAGGAATGATTGAGTGAACACAGGTCAACCCAAATAGAAAAGATGATAAAGTTAAAAGGAGAGATGATATATTTGTCTTACTTTCTTTTTTGAATTGTTCTAAAAGGAATGTCTGAGTGAACACGGGAATTACATTTGAGTAACGGTACTATGTGAGAAACTAAAATGACAATTTCCCTCAAAAATTCATAATGTGCATTTACACAAGTTTTATTCTACTTGCATCACAATTTCATGATCTGATTAAGGTTTACCAAATTTGACCGACGATAAAACAAACAGATTCTTATTTTTACTCAAATTATTTTGAGTAAATACATTTACATATTCAACTATTACATTAAAAGTTTTACAAAGTCAATTAAATTTAATAAAAGTTTGATATATAAAATAAGAGATTAATAAAGGTTTGTGTTGACTAAGTGAATTAACATAAGATCATCAAATTGGGATGAATGTAATATTAAGTTGCTCAATCACATAAAATTATGACAAAGTAAAATCACAAATACAATTGGAAAAATTGGCCCAAGCACTCTCCGTAAATTCCAAGATACAGCCAAAACAAGAATTTATGTATTAGGATGTTTTCTTTTGGACTGTTTTCAGTCCTTGACCAGACCAGACCAGATCAGATCAGACCAGACTTAAACAGACCAGACCAGACCAGACTTAAACAGACCAGACCAGACCAAACTTGGATAGTTATAAAATACACAGAGACCATGCGTTTACCAGACCAGACCAGAACAGTTCAGACCAGACCAGACTTAAACAAACCAGACCAGACCAGACCAGACCAGACCAGCAAATTTCAGTCCAAAAGAAAACATCCTAAAATGATGTTTTCTTTTAGACTGTTTTCAGTCCCAGACCAGACCAGACCATATCAGATCAGACCTGACCAAACTTAAACAAACCAGACCAGACCAGACCAGACCAGACTTAAACAGACCAGACCAGACCAGACTTGGATAGTTATAAAATACACAGAGACCAGACGTTTACCAGACCAGTTCAGACCAGACCAGACTTAAACAGACCAAACCAGACCAGATCAGACCAGCAAATTTCAGTCCAAAAGAAAACATCATACAACGTATCAAACAGATCTAGATAATCCTGTCTTGATTGTTTAATGCTTCCCTTAAGATTTGGTCAAATCAAATCAACAGGAGTATTAATAAAATAAAAATCTTACCACATTAAAATTTATGTAATTTAAAAAGTAAAGTGATAAAACTTGGAAAATTTAAGTGAGGCCGGAGGCTGAATTATACACGGAACCTCCTCTCGGCAGCGTATGTCTAATCATATCTCTCGCAAGATTGGGTCCCCAGCTGCCTACAATTTGCGATAACATTAACAAAAGATTTATTTGAATTAGAAAAACTGAGCAATGAAGAATCAGAATCATTATCAAAGGGAAAAAATTCCGGAAATAGAAGTAACAGAAATTTGAAAAAAATAAAATTGTTGTAGTTTTATTACCAAATTAGTAGTAATTACTACTCCCTCCGTCCCTGATTGTTCTTCCAAATTAAAGTGGCACAGTGATTAAGAAAGTGAGAATTGTGTGGTGGAGAGTTGTGCAGAGGAGAGAGAAATGCTGTGAATCACAAATTCTTTGCCAAAAAGGGAAAGTGGAGTTCTTTTTGGGACGAACGAAAAGGGAAAGTTGAAAGTAAATTTAGGGACAGATGGAGTATTAAGTTTGAAAAATATTGTCATGTTTAAAATCAAGTGCTGTCAAAACATGATAGTAATTATTTACCTTATTAAAATTGATTGAATTTAATAAATTTTAGCCCTTTTTACTAATGGGAAGGCATGAAATTAATTGGGAAGTTATGATGTACAAACCAATCGATCCAGCAAAATTCGGGCGGGAAGTAGGACACGTCACATGACTCTCTGGAGACATCGAAACCCTGCAGCTGGGAAGAGTACGGCAAGTCGCACGAAACCTGAAGCCGCCCATACTTCTTCCGGTCTCTGAACCGAATTCGAACCTTCATCTTGATGATGGCGGTGGAGCCGTCTCCAAGGACGGCTCCCGGTGCAGGAAAGGTGAGGGTGAGGTTACTCGAGGCCCCGGGACGCAGAAAAAACGCTCCCAATGTGGCGTTCGCAACCTCCCGCTGTGCGGCATGGGCACCATCCAAGTAGAGTGATGCTTCGGTGGTGTCGTAGTCATTGGTGTATTTTTGGTTTCGGTTGCGGGTGTTGAGGATGAAGGTCAGGTTGCCGCCGGTGAAACGGCTGCGGCTGTCATTGGTTGTTAAGGGCGCGGCCACAACGGAGAAGGCCGGAGCTTTAGGGTCGGGGTTTCGGAGACTATCTATGATCATGAAATATACTACAGGTACACAGATACAGATGGCTGCGAAGAAGACACAACAGTACTCTAGTACCTTCCGCTTGTAAGCATCCATCTTCAGCGGTGGTAGACAATTGATATCCTCGGTATATAATTGGGAAACAGACCTAACTAAAACAAGAGGCCGGTGAGAATGTATAGAGCAGAAATTTTTAGGAGCATGCGGCGGGCTCGGGCTCCTTAGCTTATTGCGTTATTAGCTAGGGTTATTTTTCCTTGCTACACAAGGTTTTTCAGTTTTTCTCTTTTTAACAAAGAAGGAAAATTGGTTACACAATTTAATCGTACCCTGCATCGATCTCAACGATCATCAAGAATTCAAATTTTACTAGGTTAATCCAATGCATCTATCTTGTTGAATCAATCATTTATTAAAATGGTAAATTTCAAAGTGTACACATATTTCTTACAAAGATCTAATACTTTTAGGATTTCTTTTGGAAAAGGAAATCACCAAACTATATTAATTATTTCCTCCGTCCCTAATTGTTCTTCCATAGTACAAATGACACACAAATTAAGAGAGGCGGAGTCAGGATTTAGTCGTAGGGGGCCAAGAAGAAACACAAACAGTACGTAACAAAAAAATCACTAAATAGGATTAAAATAAAAATAAAATTCATAAATAGTATTATCGTTGTTTTATTCTCAAAGTATGGAGTATGTATATGGTACATCTGGCTGTACGGTGAGCACCGTACATCCGTCCCAAGAACAGGCCCAAGGGAAAAATAGCAAAATAATTTGGTGGCGTTTTTGTAATTAATGTAAAAATCGCGGTTTCTGCTAAATGAGCATTAGTGTACTCTTAATGAGCAATAGTCAATTTTACTGAGTATTAAGTATCTAATAATGAGCACCGTATTATTACATGAAAGCTGATATCAAAACTAAAAACGGTGGTATTTTCATAATGTCAGTGAAAATCATGATTTTCGTTAGATGAGCATCAGACTTATTCTGCTGAACATTAAGAGTCGATAAATGAGTATTGTGATATCAACTTCATAAATTGTAATTCACTTTCTTTTTCTTAGTTGCTCTTTTATAAAATATCAATAAATTATATCTATAATCAATTCCTATGAATTTCAATATGCGGATGTAATGTTATATGATACTTTTGAAATATGCATTGATATGACATTTTAAAAACGAGCACATCAGTACCAAATGAGCATACATAAAGTCAAATGAGCATTGAGATGACAATCATAAGTTTTGTTAGTTGAGCATCAAACCTCCTCTATTGAGTATTAGGATTATCCAATTTAGTGAGCATCAGACATGTTTTGTTGAGCATTAGAAGCCTAACAATGAGTGTGGTGATCTCCTTTATATATTCGAATTCACTTTCCTTTTCTTATTCTCCCTTTTTAAGAACTTAATAAATATTATCTATAATCGACTCATATGAAATTCAATATGTGAATCTAATGTAATATGCAACTTTTGAAGTATGAAATGATATGACATTTTAAAAGTGAGCATAACATGAACACCAATTGAGTTTAAGTTACTTACAAAATGAGCATTGATATGAAAATCGTATTTGTTTTAGTCGAACTTCAAGACATTTTTATTGAGCATCAAACCTTCTCTATTGAGTATTAGAAACATGCAATCGAGTATAAGCATTTATATAATATGTTAAAATGAGCTAACACCAGTACAAAATGACCATACATTACTTACCAAATTAGCAATGATATGAAAATAATAAGCTTTGTTAGTTGAGCATCAAGAAATTTTCGTTGAACATCAAAACTTCTTTTATTGAGTATCAGAAGGATGAAATTGAATATCATGATCTCTGCTCCAATGTATATAATCTAACTCTTATGCGAATCTAAAATGATACTTTTGATATCTGCATTAATATGACATTTTAAAATGAGCATAAAACCAGTATCAGATGAACATGCGTAACTTACAAAATGAGTATCGAAAAATTCAAAAGCTCGTTTGAATTATCTAATGTGTTCAAATGTTCATTTGTGCGCATATAATGACAAACATAATAGTTTATATTAAAAATAATTTATAATCTTTCGTTCTCGAATTACAAATATAATTGGGTTCTTTTATAATGTTTTACTCATGCATATTTATTTACACTATACTCATTTTAGTATAACACAAAATCTACGTACGTTAGTAATTAACACACAATATTTAATAAACTAATAAATATTCATTTTAAATTAAAAATAGAAAAATAAAACATTAATAACTAAAATATTTTATAATACGTAAATAAAAAAACTTAAGTTGGAAGTTAGATTGGAGAAAGAAAAAAAATAAACTGAAACATTTGATAATATTTTATATTAATAAAATAAAAAATAGAAAAAACAATCATTAATACCTAAGATATTTTATAATGCACAAATTGAAAAACTTAAGTTAGAAGTTTGTTTAAAAAAAGAAAAACAAACTCAAACATTATATAATATTTTATATAATAGATTATCATAATAATTGAATAAAAAATAAAGTAAAAGATTGTTAAAGAAAAAATAAACAAAAGAAAAGCAACAAGTAGTAAAAAAAGAACGGAAACAACATGTCAAATTAAAGCAACGAACAAACAAAAGAAAAAAGAGAAGAGAAAAACAAAGTAAAGCAACGAGCAAGCCCAGCAGGGGCGGGAGCAAAACGGCGGAAAATAAGAGAAGCAACAAGACAACTGAGCTTACTAATGCCCAAAGAGTTACACAATATTACAAAATTACTTGGTTGTACCAAGCGGACACAACGTTACCAAGCCGGTTTTTCTTGTGTATCCGTTCTTATCTAGCAATAGTCTAAATTAAGAGTTCATTTACCAGATAAAAGTTTTTCAAAATTGAGACATTTAGTCCCCATATATTTGTGACACCGCGCCCGAATGTACTTGAACTTGAAATTCGATATGTATTTGAATTCCCTAGCGAATAAAATCGTGTAATAGATTGGTATATTTAATTGATGCGTGATTAATTAAATTATTTATCGGGTCCCTAATAATGAGAATGGGCTACCAAATATTTAGTTGGGTCACCGTAATAATTATAGAAGCCCACCAATAAAGGGTCAACTAAAGTTGATAAAAATATTTGGACAACCCGAGTGCTATTTTGGTCCAACCTGCCAAAAATAGCAGGAATAATTGGGAGAGACTTCCTACACCCACTTGGGAATTTCTTACTTGGCTTAATGCCTCAAAATAATGATTTTGAGACCAATAAACATGCGTTGGACGAAGTTGCTCTGTTGAAGGGATGGCTTAAGTCAAATTAACATACCAAAGGACCCTACTCATGCATTATTTTGATGCTTGATTGAGTAGAGGTACCTCCCCCCTTCCCATTCCACTCATACGAACCAAGAGAAAGGAGGGAGCTCTGGAGTTGACTTTCACAAACCTCAAGCTTGGAGGAATCTAGAAGAAAGGATATCCAAAGGAAGAAAAGCTAAAAGAAGAGGTAAGAACAAACCTTTATTCTTTAACTAGTATTTTTTTGTATGATTTTTAAGAAATCATATGGTGGATTAAACATGAAGTTCTATACGTTTAAAAGTGTAGAATAATGTTATAATGTGGTGGTATTTAACTTAGAAGAGTCGTGGAATTGATAGGAGTTGAAATCGTTGGAAACCGCCACTTAAGGGAAGCTGTTCGTAGCTGCAGACCACGAAAGCCGCCCACCTTTTGGAAAAGCCGGCCGGCTTTCGTCTGCTGCCCATGATTTTCATCTCCAATCGGCTTAGAACGGGGATTGATCGAAGGGCCTAACAAAGACAACTATTTCAGCACTTCATAAGGTGAAGATGGCTGACTATATTGCTTATAATTAGTGAGTTAATTTCATGAGATTACCTAAGGTCATTAAATGTGTTTTTTATGGATTATTAATGATTAATAATGCCTAAGCATGAGAAGACTATTGTCTATTAAGAAAAGTGCGTGATATACAAATTTAAGAATAAATTTTGTATGATTATGTGTTATGAGCATGTTGGCTTGATAATGGAATTAACTATAAATATTATGTTGAAATATACTTTTACTTCATATAGGAATATATGAGTGATTAAAAGTTATATTTTGTATAGTGATATGGACTATATTTTCAAATGGAAAATTAGTTGGAGTTTGTCTATATGACTTGGAAATGATGAACTGATTTGTTGAATTTATCCGACTAGTATTAGAATACTAGTCGGGGTATTGGGATGAGAATATGCTAGAATTGATCCAAAGATTAGATTGTGAAATGTTGAGCCTTAAGTAGTCTTAAGAGATACTAAGGTGGATAAGTATGAACTTTAAGTGATACTAGGGGCAGGCCTTAGGGGATACCTAAGATAAAGTGAATAATAAATTGATCCTAGATGTAGGATTGGCCTACGGGTGTATTTCGGTAGTCTTTGAGGATAACCGGTTGAATATTGGTAAATAGTAAGGACCATGACCCTTCCCGACTCTAGAGAGCGGGATTGGATAGCATGGACTTACATCGTGATCACGGGTTAGGGTGGAATCCGAACCGGAGACCTTACGAGGCTCCCGACAGCGGTAACACTTAAGATAGGACCCCGAATGGACCTTACCTTCCTACGGGATGATGGGTATGAGTCCAGGGGCGGGATGCTGGACTCCGGCCTGAGGGCCCGATGAGGCCTCAGATAGCGGTGACAAGTCTCGTAAAGGATGATAAAACCTATGGGCGGTGTCGTACTAACGACGGGTATAATGAAATATAAAAAGGGGCCGCGTGCCGATAAATTAATTAATTAACTTATTATGAAGATAATAAGGGTTAAAGAAGAACTATCATTATGTTATCATATCACTCTATTTGAGGGTCTTAGAAATTGAAACATTGATTATACTTAGTATAGTTTTCATTGTACTTGTCAAATGCTTACAAGTACTGACCTCCCCTTCACGGGGGAGGCCACCTCACAGTTTCAGGTAGAAGTTGAGCTTGCTACCAGTACCCGTTGCTTCAGGAGAATCAAGGAACGAAGACGTGGTTCGTGCTACCTCCGCTTCTGTTTTAAAAACATTTAAATTAATGCT